GACTAAGCAAGTAAATGTTATAAGAATATTTACATGTGGAATTATATATAAAAAAGTTAGTATTTTCGTAGATTTCAGTACCTAAAACCTTGATGGTTTGATCGTTTTTTGCACCTGTTTATTCGTTTTACTGCTGCGTCTTTGAAAATACTCAGGTGGCATGACATAACATTCCTGTTATTTGATAAGCTTTAGATTATTCAGTTATTAAATGTTTGAAATTATTTGTCTTTGCGGAAAACATTATTTAAAGAATATGGGGCCCTTAATTTAATTTTTTTCAAAATTAATTTTCACCTATGGGTGTAAAAAGCCTAAAAAATCCTGAATTACAAGTGTCTACGATGAAAATTGCACTAATTATTAACAATTGAAAAAAACGGCCATTTTCGACCATTTTTGAGCTCTTGCGCATAAACAAATTATCCGAATTTAATCGGACTTGTTTCATTTTAAAGGTTTATTTAATACCTACCTTTTTTGTATAAACCTCTTTTCGCTATGAATAACAGTTTTTTTACGCGAGTTAAAAAACCACTTTTCCATAACTTTGACCATTGTTTAAATAAAGTTTCTCAACTAGTCTCGAGTTGGTTTTTTGATATTTTATTTATAACACATTTCCGAACAATATTTCGCAGAAAAACTTCTAATAGTATTTTTTTCCAAAAACAGGCTGTTCCATGTCTATAATGACTGGACTACTAGTTTTCATTGTAAATATCAAAGTCACTGTGTGATCATTTACATTATATATTGGCTTTGTTTTTGTAAAAAGACACGTTATTTCACAAGTGATTGAGTTATGGATTACTATTTATACAAAAAAATACGTTAAAATATGTATTTTTACATAGATAGAATATCTTCTTACGACGACTATAGTGATATAAAGCTACGTTTACACTTGGCAAGTTTACTGGCGGAAAGTACTTGCCACTACTAAACTTGCTTGTTGTTTTGTGTTTACATATTTGCAAGTTTATTTGGAAAGTGTTAAAAAGAAAATGGCTCCAAGTGCCGTAGTGCCTGCTGCTGTTAAAGTTGTTGCAAGTGAAATTGTCAATATTTCTGTTTTAACTTTATATTCCACAATATTTCATATTGTTCGTTGTTGTTGTGTTCAAAAATGAAATTATCTGATTTCCATCCCACACATGTCTACACATGACAAGTTTAGTGGCCGCAAGTACTTTCCTACAGTAAACTTGCCAAGTGTAGAAGTAGCTTAAGATTTGATGGGTGCGTCTCTAATAGTAAGGGGGATGGGTGCAGGGGATAGTAAAGATAAATAATCGTAAGGTATAAGTAATCCAAATATGCAGGGTGTTCCGTCTAAAAAGAAAACAAAAGTCTATTAATTTTGACATACTTGCGATATTCGTTTGTTTAATCTTGATAATAAGTTCCTAAACATTAATACAACTCTCTTATTTAACAATGTTTTTCTATTTTACAAAATGAATATGTTGTAAAACGTGCGGAAACGAACATATCAAAATATAATATTATATATCTTTACATATTTAAAAGAGCACTTCATTACAATTACAGTAATTTAAGTTTTGAATTATCTGTCTCTTGCATTGAGAGCCAAAAAAATCGATATTATGTATACGAGACAATCATTTGACCACTTCTCTCTTTCTATCAGAAACTAAGCCTTCAAACCTGATGTCCTTAATAACCATAAAAATATGTTCTACCCAAATATCTAAAAATATGTAGGTTGTACCATTTAAAAACAAAAAAAAAACAAAAGTTTGACCTTTCCGGTGTTCATTTCTTTGATATGATATAAAATTCTGGAGCTTCAGAAAAATGCATACAACTATTAGATTTAAAATTTAATAAATTTCGGCTGTAGGTCCAATGCAAAATATAGAGAAACACATATTTTAAATATCACTTTCAATAATTGATAAAACAGAAATGCAAATGGTTCGATTTACGACTGTCCCAATTTAAGGGATCAGTTCTTAACTCAGATTGAATAATTTTTCTAAACGATTTACTTTTATACTAGCCCAATATTTTCACTACAAACAAGTTCAAATTCGGTATTTTTCAATAAGGGGCCTTTTCTATATAGATTTTTTTTTTCTTAAAATATATTAAAGAATCACTTAATATTTCATACAAGACGGTTTTAGTATGCAATACTGATGATTTTGTTCATTTACTTTTTAACACACCTATTTTCTAATACAGCTATGATATTTACAAATACCATGCAGGGTGTAACAGTGACGTTGCCTCCTACGGAATTCTTCAAATATTGGAAATGAAACGGTTGTGATTGAAAAAATTGATGTCAAAGAATTGATGTAAAATAATGAATTATAAAAACCTAGTGCCAATAGGAGTTATTTTTATGAAACTAGTTTTGTCTAACCAAAAACCTTAACACTGAAAAGACAGACAAATAAAAACTACTACCAGGAGAAGAAGAAGACATTACACTTGAAGTTCCACTAGATAATTATCAATCAGACGAATAGTTTTCCACAATTACTCATAATTCACACCGCTTTCATCAAGTGCACTACCTCACAGGTGCCATGGAAACGTGTGCAATGTGCATATTAAGGATAACACAACTTTTTCAACTTTTTGAATCGCTATATCTCAGAAATGGTGATTCTTAGGAAAAAAGTGTAAGAACAATTTTTACAGATAATTGCATGATGCACAATTTTTGTCAGACCTATTTTTTTGATAAAACTTATCGTTTAGCTGAAAAATGCAAAAACCCCATATTTGCGAACTTTGACTTTGAATAAATTTTTTTGCAAATGTGGGATCGATTGGGACTTTTCACATTTCATTTATAATGGTGTTCCCAACATTCGTACCAATTTTCATCTTTATGCGAATAATTGTAAGCTTACCCCCATTTTTTGAACTACTTTGACCGGGTTAATGATTAACAAAGTGTTTCACATCCAGCATTAGACAATTGGACAAATTTCACTCGAGTCCTAAAATGTCCATATCAACAACAAAACACACTTAACATAGAATGAGATGGAAGTGCAGGTACCTAGACTGCTAGAGTCAAATGAATGGTGTACCTGTGTAGTCTTTAGGAAACTTTTAAGTAAAAATGTTTTATTTGTCGCTGTTACACACTGCATTTTCCAAAAATGTGTAATTTTCTGAACATACTTACTTCTGACATGGCAAAACGCAAAGCCCGCAGCATTTTTCCATACCGGTAAGGTTCTTCTCCGCCTCCCTCATGTCGGTGTTGATTTGGTCCATACCATCCTCGATCCTGTCCAATTGTTCTGCACAAGACAAGACAACGCTTAATTTTTGCAAAACGCGCTTTTCGCAGGTTACACTAAAATATTAGTGTGCCGTGTATTCTGGTTCGTGTCAGAGTTATTACAAACTAGCATGCGCATGCTCTAGTCTACCGTACTCTCCACCAAAAAATCCCACAGACCAAGCGCACCAAAATTTTAAAACACATTTCAGGAATTGCTCCTTGATCTTAGAGATCCCACTTCTGCAACGCAGGTGTATCTGTAAGAATTTTCGATGGACCACTAATCCACTAGTATCATTAGAAGCTAACTATAGTCTTCATTGAAATCAATGTACATGCTACAGTTGACAATATATGTTTAAGAGAAGTTGGCATTAGCGCAGAATCAAGAGAATTGAGAGTGTGAAAAACACGTTTAAAGTTTGTGAGTAGAGTGTCAACTTACTTCGATAGTGTTAAATCCATCAATGTATTGTTGTCTTTGATTGAATCATGTATTTATTATCCATTAATATTTAAATTGGTATCTATTGTCGGTAAAGAAATTATTTGCACATAACACAAACACATCAAATAAATTACACTTATGTACTATAATTATAAGCAGCAAATTGTTTTATAAGGTTTCGTATTATACACAAATAATTTCAGTAGTATGAAAAATGAAGTGTTAGGGAAGGAAGAGAGGAAATTTTTTATTAGATACTATAGGTAGAACATTACAGCAACAAAATTAATAAAGCGTGATACATTTTAAAAACATTTGTTACTTTGGACTACAAGTTAGGCACATATAGATATTGAATTAGTAAAAAAGTTGTTGCTGTAATATACCACACTGCTGTTAATGTTTCTAAGGGCAGGTACTCAAAAATATGTATGGAAGAAAGTCCAGTATACATGAGTCTTTTGACTGATTTCTAAAACATAAGAGTATTTTCACAACTATGTATCATTTGTCAATATTTTAATTGTTGAGCGATGAGATTCTGCAATGGAGTAGTCATATAAAATATTTTTATACACTGAATCTTTTGTAGACTACTTTATGTAAATCCAACACAAAGTTGTAAAGTTTATACATAGTCCAAAAAGTATCAATTTTTTTAGTATCCTACAATTTCTATCGTCTTGTTTCGTCAGATATAACTTAAAATTTAGTTAAACTGACGCCTTGTAATTTTTTACATAGCTATCTGGTAGATGCTTTCTGGGAATTGACGATATAATAAATGAAAGATATGACCAAAAAAGTCTATTGTAAACGTAATTTATTAGAAAAAAATTCTATAATTCTATTCCCATAAGTAATGCTACATGGAGCAACAGCGGATTCTAACACTAAAATATTACGATTTAATTAAACTTACCTTAGTCCAAATGTCGATATTTAAAAAGATACAGTGTCAAAGTGAAAAAATGTGTTTTTAAATAAACTTTATAGAACTGCGGATATTGCACAAATTTTGGGAATCGGAGATTCTTTGAGGAGACAAATTCATATCAGACCATACTTTTGCTATTACTAATTAGATGGCGCCACTTGCACGGCGATACATTTTCTGTAACGACTGTCAATTTCAATTTCGAAACTTTAAAGGTGAATATCACGAGAATGGTTACTTGTAGCGACATTTGCAAAGTATCTTTTTTACGTAGACAAGAAACAAAATATCAGAGGCAGATATACCGAGGATCAAAAAGGTTAAAACATTTTAAAAACATCCAAAGTGCTGCAAGTGGCGCCCTCTAATAATTAACAGCAAAATTATCGGATTTAAATTCGTCGCCTTAAAGAACCTCCGGTACCCAAAATTTGGGCAATATCTGTAATTCTGTAAATAAATAATTAAAACAAATGTATCACTTTGACGCCCTGTAAGGTAAGTTTTGTTAAAATCGTAATATTTTAGAGTGTAGAATCCGCTGGTGCTCCTTGTATGTACTTATGGGACACCATGTATAATATCAGATAATTAATTGAATTCTCAATATGTCTAATAATCCATATATGATTTAATTTTCTTAAACAGAACATTAAACAACTTATAATGCTAAAATATACTGCAGAAATATGTACATAAAATGAAAAATATAACAATTGTTTATTGTTTAAAAATATAATAAAATGTGTATATTCCTTATCTGGGTGATAATAACAATTAAAATAAATTATTCTCATTATAAATAAAGTAATTACCTACATACTTTAATCAGTGCAAATAGAAGTGTACCAGCAAATAAATCAAGGTGACAAAATATCAAGTGACATTATACCATTACTCCATTACAAAAACTCCAGAGTGTGTACAATCATAACATCAGAAATAACGTCAAATATCTTATTGCATATTTACAAGTTTTACCTTACTTTAAGAACCACAACATTCATCTTCAAACATATTTTTTATTAATCCATTCTATAATCTATTTTATCTTCAGAACCTTATTATTTGCAATTACAGAAACAAAAATGACACATACTGGTGGAATTACCGAAATCAGTTTTACCAAAAGACTTTTTATCCGAGCAATCTACAGATTCTGATTATACAGTTTTCGTAACAATAAAAAAAAACTTTAATCAAAGCATTCATTAAGTAGAACTTTAACAAAGTAATAATAAATTGAAAATGATACGAGTATCTACGTACAACACACAGCAAGTTTTAATCATTTATTGAATATATAAAACTTAATTAAATAATTAACTAAACGCAGATTGTATTTTTATCAAAACATTATTATTTAAATAATCATCTACAGTTACGCCTACTCTTATCCACCATGAAGTATGTGTTTAAAAAGTTACCTCATTGAAGCATCCTATATTAAAAGCTAAATATTAAAACAAACAAAAAATTATAAGCAATTCTAGTATGGTTCGTGTAAATCGGTGTCAACAAATCAGCGACAACAAAAACAAAAGCAAATTATGTTCGAGTCGAGTTTATGATTTTAGTGGAATTTAGTGTTTTTAATGGAATTGTAGACTGCCCGGACTGTTGTCACATTTGTTTTTTGGTCCATTACAGATTTTGGTTATCAAATTAGAAGGAAAATATGTATATTAGTGTTAAGTTGGATCCTAAGGGTGAACTAAATCAACGAAAATGGCGGGTGATTTGATATTCGGTAATTATTCCCCAGGAATCACTTTTAAAATGAAAAAAATACTATTCTCAAAAGGTAGATCTACTTTTCATAGTTATAAAATTGTCCTTGTATTTATGTAAAAATTATACTGAAAATATGTTGAAAAATCATAAACGTTTAGTATAAGTATGTTTAAGGGTATGATCATATGGAAACTATTTTGTGGGTATTCATTGTTCAATGTTTGATCTCATCCTTTGAGAATATCGTGTATTTTTCATTTTAAAGCCGTGACCTTTGAACAGAAAAATCAAAATAGGCACGAGGTGCTTTTCAATTCAGTTCAACTTTTCCGTACCGTCGCATTATTATAAATGAAAAAGTAACATCGACAAAATATCTCGCACCAATTCTGATTTTTACATTATCCCCATCACAGCAAGTCCTGGGACTTACCATTTAAATATATGTACAAGGTATCCAGATGTAACTAACACCACGAAAATATAAAAAGCTACAAGATTCTGTTCAAAATAAGGAAGGCTTACCTAGCGATTTTTTTATCAAGAATATAACTAACCAATATCTGGGTATAAATTAACATTATTTAGAATTATCTAAAAAATTATAAAAAGTATATAATACAGGGTGTATCACAACAATGTATCAAAGGTTAAGATGTATTTTTCTTTGTCAAAAAAGAACATTTTCATATATAAGCATGTACCGATAAAATGTTCGTTTTTGAAACATGAAAATTTTAAAAAAATCATTAAAACGAAATTTTCTGTGCACACAATAATAAAATAGCATTGATTATGAAAAAAAAAAAAGTCAATTCAAACTAGTAGCATGGATGTAGGGTATTCTGGTTACATTTTCATTTTTTCATTCATAGCACAACATTAGAAAATATACATTTGTCACTATACCTAATTGAAATATAAGTTTAAATTAGTACGAAAATAGTTTCTTAATATTTTTTGCACAACTTTTTAAAGATAATACGTTTAGATAAATTTAGAATTATTTAAAAAATTTTACAAAAGATTTCAGTTTATTTCAGATATTAAGGTACCTAATCTAAATAAATTTAAAAAAATTCTAAAAATCCAATCAAATAATGTCAAACAATGTATAGTTTGATGATGATATTGCGAAAAACAACTATAGAACTGATATTCTAATTAAAAGGTCTCCCAAAAGAAACGCAGAATTTCGTATGATGAAAAAAGATTTTATTAATTAAAAAGCAGTCCTCCGCGACTCATTTGGCATACTTGATTTAAAGAAAATTCTGTATCACGCTTCCGCATACTTGCGGCTGAATTTCGTTGATAATTTTCTAGAATGTAAGAGGGGCAAGCTAATTTTTGCAGGAGTACCTTCACTACAACTCGCATAATAAAAGTGTAGATCCCTAGACCTGGACGAGGTCCGAAACATTTTCAAATGTTTAAAAAATATAAAAAATACCTATTTTATCTGAGTTTTTTACTTATATCTTGGAACCTATGCATTTTGGAAGAATATTGAAGAGGAAAAATAGTTTTAGAATTGAATTTTGCACAATATACTGTAAGTTAAAAATGTTTAAATTTATTACCGATGTTGCCAAATAGCAATAATTGATGAAAAAAAGGCAAAGTAATAAAGTTTTTTGGATATTTTTTTTTAATATTTTAATTGCTCCGAGGGCATTCTAATGTTGGTAAAAAAACTTTGGAGTATAATAAAACAACACACCAATTTTCATTAAAATCGGTTCTATAGTTTTCGCAAAATTATTTTATGAAAAAAATTTTGAAAAAAAATTTTCGAATACTCAAAATGTTGCACAGCCTCAAATAAAGCATCTAGATACTTGAAAATTTTTTCACATAGAAAAGACCACTCAGCCTTTCAAATGGTTTTTGAAAAATTGGAATCGGTTGATTAGGACGGCCACAGCAAATTTTTAAAGTTAACACTGTTTTTTTTTTAATTTTTACACAATTAGATTACATTTGTCAATTTACAATTTAGTTTCTTTCAAAAATTATAAAACTTTTTTCCTCTTCAATATTCTTCCAAAATGCAGGTTTCAAGATATAAGTAAAAAAACTCACGATAAAATAAGTATTTTTTTTACATTTTTTAAAAATTTTTGCAATTTTGAAAATGTTCCGGACCTCGCCCAGATCTAGGGATCTACAGTTTTATTAGGTGGGTTGTACTGAAGGTAATCCAGAAAAAATTAGCTTCCCACTCATATCCACCTCAAAACAGATCCGCCCTGGTCTAGTTTTCCTTGTTCACATTACCACTAAGATGGAAATATGTCTCGTCGTTAAAGATGGTTTTCTTAGCAAAATCACCATCCACGTATTGATTCTCCAACATCCAATATCCGGCGCATTAAATGTTCGTCTGGTTTCAATTACTAGCTTAACTGAATCTTGAATGGATGCAGATGCAGAAATGTTTAATTGCAGTGACTGATCCTGTTTTTTTTTATTATCTTCAATCAAACCTATTTGTACAAATTTGTCAACTAATCTTTCCAGTTGTTTCATTCGCTGCCTTCCTTCTACCGAAAATTCCACATAACTTGTGCACAGTCTCAGCTACACACTCTCCGTACTTGTAATGAATTTTCACAATCTTCACTCGCTCGTTCATCGTGCGCACTCCATTTTGTCTAACCGCAACGTATTTACTACTACATGTGACTGCACAACACTGCCAACTGTTCCGAATGAAAATGGCGCACAATTCAAATCCTGCGTTACTTTTGGGGTATTCTCTATTATTAATTGAAAACCTTGACATATTGAAATTAAACAATGTAATAGTTCAAAGAAATATATTTTATTCTTGTTCTAACATCACCTTTGACAAAGATCAACTATTGTCACGATAGACGCATGTTAAGTATTTCTGCATTTTGAGCATTGCTTTTCCATATGGCCTCCTTTTAAATAGAATTCATAAATATTAATTAATAGAACTAAATTTTATAGAAAACGGAAAACTCTTAGAAAAAAAAATAAAATTAAAAAAAGTGTTAGACAATATTAGATTTGTCTCTTATCTAACCAAAAATCATTTTTATTAAATTTCCTTTTTAAAGATATTTAATTCATTATTACCTTTTGTGCTTTTACTTTATTTTAGTAAGGTTTTAAGCTAATTCAAATTAACTCAAATGTCTTTGATACCAAAAATTTAGGCACTGATAGGATTTTTTTATTTATTTGAATCAGTTTAATACATACATTGAAAAAACAATGTAAAAGTACAAGAACTTAAAATTTACAAAATTTGTTTAAAATGTTCAATCATTCAGAACTTTTTTTTTTGAAAAACTTGACACTCTGTAACAGGCACGTCGTTCTCCTGCGTGAACAATATATTTTTCTACCCCATATAAAAATGATCGAATGAGAAGAATTTACTCGTTTAAAAAGTTTTCTTATACAAATATCAATGATAGAATATTTTCTCATCGGGACCAAAAATATATAACCTTGAAACAAATACGCAAGATTTGAATATAATTTAGGGAACTTGTAACTCCTTATATTCTGTAATGATGAGAGTGCACATCCGTACGACCAGGTACTGATTACAAGGTATTACACAAGAAATATAAATGCTTACCGCCCTGTTCATCCAGCATGACCAGGGTCTTCATACCAACTTCGTGGCTCTACAAACATCAAAAAGGTTAGCCTGGCACCAATTTACACCCCTCACCAATTCTAAGGCCACTATAAGGTACCTTCCCCAAGTCCAATATGTATAAGAGAGAGGTATAGACAACCTAGTTAGTTCACCAAACCAAAACGCTGTCATAGTTAAGTGAAAATCGGAAAAAATTCAAACGGAATATGTTAATACGAGTAGTCATGTTGTAATCCATGTTTCTTAGAACATGTACTGAGTACGTTGTATGTTTTATAAGACTGTAAAACACACTGTCAAAAAATCTACAGAATATATATAGGTACAGTGTACGGTATAGCTTTCATTTTTCTATGGTTTTCAGTAAGTGCAGTGTTAAAAAAGTGCAAAAAGTAAATTACTCTTGAAGAAATTAAATCAAATTCAATTAGCAAAATAAAAAAAAAAAACAAGTAGTAAGCAATGAAAGACTGTGCAATGAAACAAAAAATTTTCATTTTAAATAAAACCTTCAGAGTGACGTCCTGATTAAACGTAATCAAAATTACCTGCTGCATCGAAATGCATCTTATTTACATTTTACAAACAAAAAAGTAAGGTGCGATAAATTAATCAGGTGCAAATTTATAAAATTGTACCCTAGTTTCAGAAAAATGCTTGGAAGTTATTATACACAGCAAATTCCTGAAAGGAAAAATTTCAGTAGCATCCCAAGCAATTCGTTTACCAATTATTGTACAAAATAACATGTACCCATACCACCGCGGTTCCAACTCATTTAGGAAAATTAACAAACCGTATGCGTAAATATGCAATAAAACAAAGACTACAACAATGTAAGAATTAAACAGCTCCCAGCAACACCAACCATCGAGTTAAGTCCTTTTTAAGTTCATTAAGCTTACCGCCTTGATGATGGAGCATTTCCAAAGTCGTGGTTCCCGCATCGGTACTCTACAACAGCAGAGTGCTGATTGCAACTCACACAACAGAAACAACATAAAGAAACAACATGTAGCATCACTACAGTGATATGTACAACTCAGGCACCAACTGTACTAAATATGGATACGATCAAGTAGCTAACAGCAGGTAATCTAACTGAACAATTGTAGTAAAATATCTAAAATATCTAAAATATCTATCTAAGTATCTAACTTGATGGACTATAAAGTTCGATATTTTGAAAACGGTTAAGTTTAAGTACATGTTGTGCTATATGAATTTTGTTTAGAATTTCGAGAATTAAAATATGGAATAACGTACAGGGTCTTCCATTAAAAAAACCAACATTGTTTCTCTATCACTTTTTGACTGATCCTGTGTACTTAATTATTCTTTATTGTAATAGATTAAAAAAACCTAAAATGTCTTATGATTTTTCAAAGCTATCTTAGTTTAGGCGATAATCGATGTTTCCATACATAACAGCGACCCTGTATATACCTATTTTACAATGTGGAACAGCCAAATGGAATAAATTCAGTATATCAATTTTTGTAAATATTTATAAAAAATCTCGAAACGGGTCGATTTTGGATTCTGAAATGACATCCATCAATGTAAAAATTTCATACCAATTTTTTCCCAATTTCGACTGACAGTTGCAACCCCTAAATTTTTAATTGGAAAGTAAGGGTTTGTGATACCCCATCTGAAAGGTATTTTCATTCTCTATTCAAAAATGCTATGGTTACAATATTTATTGCAAAAATTAGCAGTAAAAAAATAAATTCATCAACTTGACGAAATTCACTACAGCAAACTAAAATGAGACTTAATTTCAACGAAGATGTTCAAAATTAGTTCCTTGAACGTCTTGGCCGCATCCTAATAGAAAATAAAAATGTCTTTTAACGTTTTCCAAAATCTGAAGCGTGACTGACCTAATAGCAACCATTATTTTTCTTCTCAAGTCAGATATATCGCGTGGCTTAGTTTTGTATATCATACTTTTCACATATCCGAATAAAAAGAAATCTAAGGGTGTAAGATCAGGAGAACGTGCTGGACATTCTGCGATTCTCGCCTCCATATCAACCGATTTGGAAATGTTAAGTCGAGGTATTGCCGGACATTGATTTGGTAATGTGCTCCATTCTGCTGGAAGCCTATCACATCGGCTGAAACTTGTGAAACTTTGCCAAATTGCCATCGATGAAAAAGGAACCAATGCCATGGTCTCCAATTATCCCCGCCCGAACATTAACCTTTTCAGGATTTTGGGTATGTAATTATTTCACCCAGTGAGGATTTTCATTAGCTCAGTAGCGACAATTTTGACGGTTAACATGACCGCGAAGAGTAAAAGTGGACTCGTCAGAAAACAGAAACTTTTCTAGTTGGATAACATTGTTATCTAACGCATTTTATTTTCTTTTAACACGCGAATAACCGAGGAATGGGAAACATTCAATGCTGAAGCTGCTTGTCGACTTGAACTATGTGGGTTTTCTTCAAACTCAAGTTGTACATTTAATTTGGTACTGTTACTCATTATACTGGAAGCGTGTTTTTTTTATCTGCCGTTTTTTCAATTTCGCTAATAGTACCTTGGGATATAGGTGGCAAATCAGCAAATTTTTCTTGAAATAGGCGAGCAACTTCGGTCTGTGATTCTATCTCCGTAACCAACTATATGTACCTATAATTGTTATTTTATGCATTTCTGTTAAATAAACCATGTTTAGGAATTGCAGTTAACAAAACTCAAACAGTACGCAAAATACTGACAACTATTTATTGTCAATTAAATAAAACAGCAAGTAGCTAGTGTTTTCAAAAAAATTGGCTATGAAAAATTTTGATGTTTTTATATCTTCCTTGTAGTTGAGAATGTTGAAAAAGAACACTGAAATAGTTTTTTATGTTTTTGTTTGTTGTAACGAATTTCGTCAAACAGGGCGTTAATTTTTGCAATAAATATTAAAACCATAGTATTTTTTAATTTTGAATGAAAATACTTTTCAAATGAGGTATCACAAGCCCCTACTTCCCATTTAAAAATTTAGGGGTTTTATTTAGGGGGGATTTACTGCCACTCGAATTTGGGGATGAAATTTTTACGTTGCAGGATGTCATTTCAGAATTCACAATCGACGTATCTCGGGATTATTGTACAATAATTGAGTTACTGAATTTATTCCATTTGGCTGTTCCACACTGTATAGGTATTTATAAGTATACTTTTACTTTGAGAGCTATTAAAAAAATTCAAATCAAGTCACAAAATGTTCCTAATATTCCCATCTAGTGAAACCAACATCATTATATGCTAGAAAGTAATTTCGAAGACAAGCCATTAATGATTTTGAAAGACAACTACTCCGCGAACGAAGGCTCCGTCCTGCACTAAATTAAATCCGCGATATCTAGTGAAAATATTAAATGTCACCCATTTCAATTAACAATTATCTAAAAAGATAAAGATAAATATATCCAAACATTATTAATGAAAAAAAAACATACATTTACGTATATATAATTTAACAATTTAAATAATATAAACTTTTTCTTTGATTTTTTTTTGTCTTTCTCTTTAAATAATTATTACTCACTGCTATGGATGAAATATAACATATTTACTAGGTTGCTTTAGTCCACCGAGTAGTGGTTTCCTACATATCGTTAATAGCTTGTCTTTTGAATTGTTTTTTATCATGTCATTTTGATGTCGACGAGTATATGTATGACTTCATTAGACGAAAGCTTTAGGAAAATGTAAAAGTACAAATGTAATAATAACATAAAACGAAGAATGTGTATGGTGTACTAAGAACCTGAACTCCCTTGTAACTTCTTTATTAATAAGTTAATAATTTCCTTTAAGCAATTTTTTGTCGAACAAGAAGTTGTATATTGAGTTAGGAATATTTTTATTTAAAAGACCAGTATCTAACACAATATATTTTTCATTCTCGCCAACTTTTATTTTAACATTTTTTGTGAACCTCAAATAGTAACAAACCTATTCTATACTAATGAACCACCACTTTCACATTATCTGTTTTATTTGCTGACTACCACCGCTAGAATAATTAAAACTGGACTTGCTATGAATGAAATGAATAATTTTAGTAAATTAATTAAATATAATTTTAACAAATGACTATGTAGTTGAATTGTTTCTTATATTACCACAGAAATAAGATCTACTTAATACATTTCCAATTAAACAATTCTGTGTATCTACAGATAGATAGATACATCAAATTAAAAAATTAAACGAAACTGTAATGAAAATACGTACAATTTTATTTTTAAATCGATTGTTTCTTACATATTTAAGAAATATTTATTGTAATTGCACCTAAACGCATTTAAAATTTACATAAAAAGGTGCGTCTCCATATTTTGTTCCAGTTTGGTGCCGGTGATAACAAAATATAAACAAGTAGGTGACATGAAGCAGAAAATACGGTGCTTGTAGTAATTATTATATACAGTACAGGTCAGAGAAAATCTTCAATGGGACATTAACACTGAACAACAAAAGCTCGAGACCATACTAAGCAAAGCATCTGGCATGCAGTATAATAGTGTTTAAATGCTAGTGTTAGACTGCAAAATGTTTATTGTTTATATAAATATAATAATGTCACTTACAAGTATCTGGAAAATATTATTATACAGTTAACAGTCAGAAAATGGGCGGGATGCATATATATGTAGATGAAGTTGTAAAACCACATTCAAATCATTTATTAAAGTACCTTTTTATTACTCATGACGGATAAGTCCTATATTTTCGCATGATTTTTAGGTCGGTAACTAGCTGCAGCGACTATAACAAGAATTGTTATAGTCACTGCTAGCTGTTACTTCGTTCGTGCGCTCAACTCCGCCTCTCGTGGGCAATGGACAACTTACCGCACTTACTGCACAATATACTTACTATTGTGGATACACATGATCGCAAATGACCCATTTTTAAGCATTACGTAAAGAACGCCACCAAAACGAACAATGGACTAGCATTCTTCCCACTGTGCTATTGGGAATACGTGCAGCATGGAATGAAGACAT